CCCCAAAACCCCAAAACCCCAAAACCCCTTTTTGGGAAAATCTTGTTGAACTATATCCAAAATTATTAACAAATGGAAGCAAGACAACCTAGGCCATTCAGTGACTTTCAAAAGCATCGCCAGGAGTTCATACCAGTGTTTCCTGATTCATTAGACATCAACAGCAAGATTTCTGTTAAGAAAGAAGATTTTGGTGTTAAAGAAGAGATTAAGCCGCTGTTTAAGACTTTACTTGGCGAAGCAGGCATGCCTTATGTAGAACTAAAGGTTGATGAGGGAAATGGTCAAACCTTGAAAGCTGCAGAACCCCTTAAGATTGGCTGTGTTCTCTCAGGGGGCCAAGCCCCTGGAGGACATAATGTTATCTCAGGCCTCTATGACATGATCAAGGATATCCATCCAGAATCACAACTTTTCGGATTCCTTAAGGGGCCTCATGGAATTTTCACTGGAAATTATGTTAAAATCCAAGATGACTTTATGAATGAGTATCGAAACATGGGAGGGTTCGATATGATCAGATCAGGAAGAGATAAGATCGAATCTCCTGAACAGTTTGCTAGCTCTCTCAAGTATTGCAACGAGTTAGATCTCAACGGACTTATTGTGATTGGTGGAGATGACTCCAACACCAATGCATGTCTCCTTGCTGAATACTTCAACGCCCATGAAAGTAAATGCAAAGTTATCGGAGCACCCAAGACAATAGATGGTGATTTGAAGAATGAATATTGCGAAGTTTCATTCGGGTTCGACACCGCTACCAAGACCTACTCTGAACAGATTGGCAACATTATTGTTGATACTAGATCTACTAAGAAATACTACCACTTTATCAGACTCATGGGAAGGTCGGCATCTCATATTGCTCTTGAGTGTTACCTTCAAACAAGAGCTGACCTTGTACTCATTGGAGAAAAAATCTTTGAGAAAAACAGGACTCTTAAAGAAGTTACCAACGAAATTGTAGACGTAATCGTCAAGAGACATGAACTTGGAAAGAACTATGGTGTTTTCCTGATCCCAGAAGGCATAATTGAATTCTTCCCAGAGATGGTGCCTTTGATATCACAAATCAACGACTTCTTTGGAGAAAGAACAGATATAGAAAATCCGAGAGCTTATGTTCTGGAACATTTGACTGCTGAAAATAAGGCATTATTTGAGTTCCTCCCTCGAGAAATCGCTGACCAACTTTTGTTAGATAGAGATCCTCATGGAAACGTCCAAGTTGCAAAAATAGAGACTGAGATCCTCATGATCTTGCTCTGTCAGAAGGAGCTTGAGGAAAGGAATGCTAAAGGAGAGTATAATGGTAAATTTCACCCTCAAAGTCACTATTTCGGATACGAAGGAAGATGTGCCATTCCTAGTAATTTTGATACCCAATATTGATACGCCATTGGAAGAACTGCTGCATCTTTGGTGTCGCTAAAATATTCTGGTTACATGGCTATCAATAAAAATTTGCAAGATTCAAACCCTAAAAACTGGATTTCAGCTGGATGCCCATTACCAACAATGATGGGAATGGAAAGAAGGAAAGGAAAAGACAAGCCTGTCATCACCAAATATGTTGTGGAACTTGACGGGGCCATGTACAAAGCCTATCTCCAATTCAAAGATAGATGGAGTCTTTATGACTGCAATGTTTCACCAGGACCAATCCAACTACATGACCCTTCATCGATAGACGTGCCCTTCCTTGTCAGAGCTCCAGATCTGGATTTGCTAGAGAAAGAGACTGAGGAAAGGATTAAACTTGAGAAAAGCCTAGATGACCATCAGCAATATTTCATGACGGGAGAAATGAATCTTTCTCTTGATGCTAAAAAGATGCTCTCATACAAAGCTGGGATCCCATCTTTCCTTGAAAAAGGAGACTATGGTTGCTTCGCAGTCAGAAAGGCCAGACCTAAAAATATCGACATCGAAGAAACTCTTCATGAGCAGTACCCTTATCTTGGGAATGATGACTACTCAACCCATTTTGTAGAAATAATTGACAGGAAAGATACAAAGGTAACTCACATGGAAACAGAGGATCAGAGCGTGCATAATCTGAACGAAGAATTTTCAGCCAATCAGAAATCTCATTTAAAAATTGGTATTGTCATATGTGGAAGACAAGCACCAGGAATGCACAATGTTATAGATGGTCTCCTTAGATTCTCTAAAAATCACGGAGATATAGAACTTATTGGCTTCACTAATGGAACTGTTGGCTTCTTCAAAGGAGATCATATCATTATTACTGAAGAAAATTTTGCTCTTTATAGAAACCAAGGAGGATGCGAGTATCTTGGAAGATCTGTTGACCAAATCAGAACTAAAGAGCACCAGGAAGCTGCTATTGATATCTGCACTAAGTTCAACCTTAATGGTCTTGTTCTAGTCGGAGCTAGCCACACTCTTTCTGATGCAGCTCACTTGACTGATCTATTTCTTGAGAAAAATATCCAGACAAGAGTCATTGGAGTCCCATCAACCATTTTCGGGAACATTTCTGGAAAATATATAGAATCAACTGTTGGATTTGACACTGCTTCAAAGCTTTACTCTCAGCTTATTGGGAACATTATGACTGACGCAGCTTCAGCTGTGAAGTATTGGTATCTAATGAGGCTCATGGGAGGCGACCCATCCCACTTAGCCCTTGAAAGTGCTCTTCAGACTGGCCCAAATGCGGTCTTAATTTCTGAAGAAAGTGCTAGAGATCAAGAAACATTGCCTACAATTGTTAATAGACTGTGTGATTTAATTCAGAAATAGACATGAAGAAGGCAAGGATTTCGGAACTATCTTGATACCAGACGGCTTGCTTGCTCATCTCTCTCACTATTCATCAATTATCGAAGAGCTTAACGAAGCTTTTGGCAAGTGTGAAACTCATGAAGAGCTAGATACTCTTGAAGAAAGGCTTCTAAATTCAGAAGATACAGGAGAAATTTTGACACCATGGAGTACATCTGTTTTCAACATTCTTCCAGACTTCACTAAGAAGCAGTTGTTTATCACAAGAAAGATTACAGGGAAGTTTGACCTTGCTCAGCTTCAGACTGAGAAACTTATTAGTCATCTCATCGCAGAAGAACTCAAGAAAAGGAAGAAAGAAACTGGTGTGAAGATTCCATTTAGTCCAGTTACTCATTTCTTTGGATATCAAGGGCGAGGATCTCTCCCAAGTCTCTTCGACTGCTCTCTAGCTTCGACATATGGGTATACTGCAGGTTCCTTGATTGAACATGGACTAACTGGTATTTGTGTGACAGCGAGAGGGCTCATGTCTGACCCTGCTGATTGGAAAGTTGGAGGAGTCCCATTCATCTCCCTCATGGACAAAAAGTCTAAATCTAGCATTTATGGAAGAGATAAAGTCTACATTAAGTCTGAAGAAGTGGACCTGAATGCTTTTGTTTACCAAAAAGCGAAAGTAAACTCTAAGCAATGGGAGATGAATGACAACTTCATCAATCCAGGACCAATTCAGCTCTTCGGAGAGGGAAAAGACAGAGTTAATATGAAAACCCACCTACAAGCTGATAAGTACTCCAAGCAGGTCAGTACCATTAAAGACCTATGTAACCTCATCCAAAGAAGATGTACTTTTGCAGATGATGCTGGTATACTCAAAGCGGCTATAGCCAGTCTGCAAGGGGTCGATCAAACTCTCTAAGTCGCCATAAGATTCCTTCAATAATCTAGCTTAATTAAGGGGTTTTGGGGTTTTGGGGTTTTGGGGTTTTGGGG